TATTGCGATACTTACACTTGCTTTAAACTTGGTCTATAATAACTTATTTCACGCATTCATAGACAATCGATCATAATGCGTACCTTAAATAGGGGGGGGGGGGGCTACATGCACAAATATCTTGAATGCAAGCCCCTCTTCAGGGCACATGCACGCAACTACACGAATCGGACACTGAGCTGTACACTCCTGAATATTTCACAGTATATATTTCGTGAACACACTTCACAACGCTGGACAGAATCGCTCAAATGTGACACGGCCCACTGAACTTCACCACAGTGCTACACACAACAGCACTCGTACGGCGTTGCACATTACGAATGACAACAATGACGGGCAATAAAACTTCCCCATCTTTATCGTACTAGAAGCTAACGCTCGCAAGCGTTCAAAATTTATGCATACTATTTGTTGCGACGAACGGCACACACAGAACACACCCGACGCTTACACTTGTTGCGATGATTACAAACTTTTCACTTCGGCGCGCACTAAACGCATATCCTGCTTCAGAAAGGTGGATGATTACATCACGGAAATCATCAGACTTCTTCGCGATTACACTTGAAAGATGCACGGTACAACCCAGGAAACAGACGAAATGACGACACTCGCATACGCAAACACACTTTCTACACTGTGCTCGTTTCTTCGTTTCCGCTGTCGATCGCACGTGCTGACGGGGCAGTGAACACTGGCTGAGTACCGACTTCTCCCCGGGAGTCTCACAGCGCTTACGATGGTCACAAGGATAAAATCAGCTGTTCCTTATCTTTTTTCATTGTCGCTGCAGCGCCCGCTTCAGCAAGCGCCATGTTTGCCAATTGAGCCGACGGGGTGGCTGTCCAGGCCGTTTTTCGCAGTAGCAAATGAGAGGCGAGCCATGCGAGCCGGCTTGCGGCTTGCAAAAGTTGAGAGCCGCTATGCCTGACGTTACAGAGACGGCCGCTCTCTCCCATTTGTGCGGTGCGGGTATAGTGCCTAGAATATACTGGCTAGTGTGCGGAGCGCGGGTGAGGAGATGGCCCCCGCCGCTGATGACTTCCGGCGGTGCCCGCTTGGTGCGCTGATGTGCGGGTGGGTGCAAGGATAAAAGTGCAAGGTAAATCAAAGGACTGTGGGACGCCTCGCGTTGGGTGCTCACGGGAAGACGACAAACGAGGCTGTAAAGGGCGATATGGGGTGGGCAGGTTTTGAGGCGAGGGAAGCGCAGAGCAAAATAAGGTTCGAAGAAAGGCTAAGAAATATGAAGGAGAGTAGATGGGCAGAGAAGGTGTTCCGTTATTTGTATAGGAAGAGCGTGGACACACAGTGGAGAAAAAGAACTAGAAGACTCACTAGTAAGTATACGGCTGGTATTGTAAGCCGTATGTCAACAAAGAGCGTTAAGGGAAAAGTCAGGGAGGCGGAGAGGATTTACTGGATGGCAGCTATGGAGAAAAAACCGGCTTTGAGTAACTACCGAAAGGGCAAAAATGAAATAAGGAGGGAGGCATTTTACGATAATTCAAGGGGAAGCGCTTTACTGTTTGAAGCGAGATCGGGTTGCCTTAGAACGCGTAGTTATAAAGCAAGATTCAGTAAAGAAGAAGAACAATGCACATGCTGCGGGAAAGATAAGGAAACGGCGGAGCATGTTCTGATTGAATGTGGAGATATCCACCCAGGTGTACGTTTGGGCACGAGCCTACAGGAAGCCTTGGGTTTTAGGGACAACAATGGAAAGCTGAACACACCCGCGATTGAAATAAGTAAGAGACGGTTAGAGTATTGGTGGCAGAAAATTAGAGAGAAAGGACAAAAATAAATATTGGAAAAATAAAATATGGACAGTGTGCCGTAAATGGCAGAGAACTTAAGCTGAAAATTTACCTTTTTTTCCATTAAGATAGAATTTATCGAAGTAGAGGCATTAGGCCAACATAAAAAGAAAAAAAGTTTTTTTTTTGTCGAGCCTGGTGGCATACTTGTCACCACCCCGTTATAAAGGGGACGCTCATAGCATCCATCCATCCATCCATGCGTCTGCGTTCAATGCGCGCGCTCCCCAAGTGCGGCGAAGCTCTCAGCAAGCCGAGCTGCGCGAGGCCAACTGTATATTTTTTTCGCATTTTCAGAGCGTTCTTTACAGAACGCTTTGTTATATAAGACCTACTTGAGCGTATTTTGCAATACCAAACGAAGATCCATTTGGGACGTACACCTCGCTGTCTACTACCAGCAAAAAAAAAAAAATCTCCTTGATAATATATCGCCAAAGTGATTTTGAAAGTTTACTTTGCTAGAGCAAGAAATATCACAGAAGGTTCGAAAACACTTACCACATAGCCTGCACTCCATCAGAATGAGTGCGCACAAAGAATGACAGCAATACCAAGCAAAAACCAGACATTACAGCGGCATGTGAGATTCTGAAGTGCGTTGTTGCGCTGGGAAGCAGACGTTGAAATAGAATATATATATATATATACATATATATATATATACATATATATATATATATATATATATATATATATATATATATATATATATATATATATATATATATATATATATATAGATATATATATATACTGTTTCAATGCATCATTCAAATGCTGGTATGCCAAAACAAGCCAACAAATTAAATTAATCCGTTTCTCATTTTGCATCCTGACTAAACAAACTTCTGTCAAAGCTGTATTTTACACCATTTTATAACGCTATGTACCCATGAGTGTGGTCATTGGTAAGTGTTTGAATTTGATCTAAGGATACCTGGAAATAATAAAAATGATAAAAACAACAATTCAGTGAAGTTTGAAATACTGCAGGCATCAAACATTTATTCACAGAACATTCAACGCAATAGAACAAACCAGGCACTACAGAATGGACTCAAACGAGAATTCTATGCACTTCACGCTAGTGGCAGCGGCGTAACTTGAGCAGTTTTTGTCGTTGCCTTTGCCCTTCTCTTTCCTTGTTGAGGCCTTAACAAAAAATCTGAACCGTAATAAGACATAAAACTTCACCACTTCAGAGAGATTTTCTTTTTCATGGCTAGAGCAGCCAAGCTGCGGCAATGAGACTGACCGCAGGCACCTTACAAAATCGAGCAAACTCTCTTCATGAAGAATGTTTTTGCTAAAGAAGACAGTGAATTCGTCCTCAATCAGCTTAACTGCTGTGGACAGGGCAGAACTAGGATAAACAAGCCCGCCATTGTCAAAATGAGCCGTGAAGTGAGAGCTCTCATCCATGCTTGCATCGCTTGGGTTTACACAAAGGCAAGACGCACATTGTGGACATGCGTTTTTTTGCGATTGTTTTTCTTGCCACATAGCCAGAAGCATAATAAATCAAGGCAGCGTTGCTTTTCCTTTCTACATAGCCGGCATGATCATGTTTGAACAGAACACTGTCAATGGCCTCCTCAACTTCATCAACCTTTCCATGGTCAAAGAAGTCATCAATAATGTTCAAAAGTGGTGCTGCCTTGGCATTAAGCTCTGGTGTAGGTGCTTCGCTCAACAGTGCTTTTATAACATCTGGTGAGCAGTTTGTTCCTCTCGGTGATTTTGCCAGGTTATAAAATGACATTAGGTTAACAGTCACGAGAAACTGTGACACGGTAGGATGGTCATTACAACCTGACGCCTGTCTTATGATGCCAAAAAGGTTTTCCAGTTTGTCTTGACTTAGACGTGACGTGAAGAGGTAGTTGTAGCCAACAGGGGAACTAAGATAAGATAGCAAGTCTAACGTACTTCTGATTGTAACCCTCAGTCCACAAGCAGTATTTTCAGTAAGAAATCCACCCCCAGCTGGTTCTGCGTGCCTCTCCGATGCGTCTAGGTAATCTAGAAAATCTTCCAGGAACTTTTTATCTGGATTACCAGGCTTCAAAGCTTTTTGACTCGTCCTTGAGGTCATGATGCGGATAAGCCGATTCATTCGTTTGACGAATTCCTCTGTTGGTTGCACATTTGTGTTCACAGAATCTATATGCTTCCTGTGCACATAGAGCCCTTTGATGACCTGATCACCAAAAAGTTGGAAGGCTAAATCTACTCTCATTTTTCAAAAGAATTCGGCATCAGGTGTGCGCTAGTGATGTTGGGCATAGCTTTCAGTGTAACATTCTCACGGTCCGACTCCCAGGCTGTCTCAATAATGCCGCGGTGTACGTGGCCAGATGGAGTCAGGTAACCCTTGGACAGAAAACCATTTCGCACATTTTTCAGAAGGTGTGGAAAGTCTGACACGAAGAAAAGTTGTCTTTTGGGGTCCACAGGGTGCTTCGTGCTGCTCCTCAGGTGAATAGCAGAACCTATAAAAACATATTTTGTGCATTATTCAAGTATAAAATGTGCGAGAACAAGACTTTTGAAAACCAGCGTGAGAAAGACACAATGTAGGCTTCACTTACAGAATTTTAATTGAGTTTAATAGAGCAGCACATTTTAGAAATCTTAATCACGGTAGCAGGAGTGCAGGACCTCTAACTTTAAGCTTTTGAATATATTGGCAAGAAATCTGAATATACGCAATTCTCTGTTATGAATTTGTTTCCACCTATAATTTATACACATTTTGAGAGCTTTTAATTACAGCTTCTAATTACACAATAGATGAAGAGAGCTTCTTAGATGACTACATGAAAATTTCAAGTAGCTAAAACATTGCTTTCCAGATGCCCATTATGCCTACACACAGGCCGATAATACTAAGTGAGTGAAATTATTAATTTGCTCACCATGTATGCCAAAGATCCGCCACATGCTGCGATTCCAGCTGGCCCCGTCACAGGTCACGGAGTCAACATACAAGCCCGCTCGTTCAGCCAGGACGGTGCACTCTACTATGATTTTTGCAAGCGTAGCTGCTTGAACATTGCCTTTCGAGGCAAAAATGCCAAGTATTTGTGTCCAACTCCCTAAAAAATGGGCAAGAACAATGATGGTGCAAGATTACCATGTTACTTATGTCATGTGTTTAACAGTAGTCTCTTTTTAAAACAACTTACCGGTGTAGGGTTGAAACAGCACAACCATCCCGTGGTCTGCAAGCACACCCTTGTGGTTACTGTTTCTGTAGTCCCCAAGATCCACGAAGCCTTCAATGTCACCTGAATGGTTACAAAAAGCACATTACACATCATGCAGCATGTAGGCGGTTAAAATGCAACAAATAAAATGCAATCATGCTTTTAAATGTGAATTGTATAAATAATATAAAACTACAAGAATGAAATGATGGAAATAGTGTCGAAACTCACCGGCTGCCAAAGCACGCGAAAAGTTCTTGTATTTAGTTTTGTCAGGGCAAGCATCGTTCGTCTTTTTTCTTCTGTACATGTTGTTCTGTGAGAGCCTCCGTAAATATTTGCAGTGGAAGCATGACTTCTCTTTTTCATCAGTGGTCAGCAAGCATTTCTCCGCAAAGTACCTATTTTTGTATGAAGTATGCTTGCCCGCAACAGGTATCATGCCGCATCCATTGCACAGGTCAGGCAGAGCAACTTCTTTGATCAATGCCTCTGCCTCATGGCGGGCTGTGAGCACGCGCTTTTCTTTTTCTCTTCCTCGGAAGTGCACTGTGGCAACTACCGAACCCTGCTCACGCAAAGGTTTTCCAAAACTTACTCTTCTTTCAATGAAAAGATTTGAAAAGTCACCGGCTTCAGTCTCGCAACAGACATAAGTTAAGGTGTCATTTGACATAGCAGGCAACTTCATCCAGGTCACCGGAATCAAAATTCCATCGAATGGGTGCCGAAGATCACTTGGACACGGCTGTTGCGGTGTCACTCCGCCGTTACGCACTGGTTCTGCAGCAAGGTGTGCCTGTTCGGAATCCGAACGCTGTCGTTCTTCCGATGCAACTCCAGGCGCGATGCAATTAGAGTCAACTGGCGTATCGCCATCGTACAACTCAGGGTCCGCCTGCTCGACATTTCGCTTCTGTTGTTTAGGTGCCGGTTCTTGGTCGCAAATGTTTCTCACCTTTCGTTTCACCGCCTTTTTAGGTACAAGATGTGTCGGATAATCTTCGAAGACCGTAGGGACAGCATCGGGCTTCAAACGTGGCTTGTCTCGGGCGATTTCGTTGACGACACCATTCACCGTAGTCTGAAAATATCGTTCGATGTAGCCACTCTCAAATTGTCTTTCACACACGACAGCCTTCGGCGTCAGTCTCCTGTCTGCCCTCTTGATTTTGCTCTCCCATTCTGCAAGCCGTGCTGGGTACGTCGGTGCAGTGAACAAAGACACCTTTTCCTCGTTCGAACGATATCCGCTCCGGCACAGCGGCACAAAACACGTCCTTTCTTTGCATTGCCGCTTAGCCTTCAACATCTCAGGACGTTGCTGCCCACATTTTGCGACGACGAACTTGACACTACAACAGGTCGAACACTGACAGCTGTCAAACGCTGAGCAAAGCATGGGACGACAGGAGCTTGGCGGCTCTCATGCACCCACTCGTCCGGCAGCGCCACTTGCGGCCACTGCGCGCAGTCATCACGTGCGGGGCCACCCTCTCTCGTACGGAATGCGCGCGCTCCGCACACTAGCCAGTATATTCTAGGCACTATAGTGCGGGTGTGCGGAGCGGGTGTACGGCTAGCGTGTGTAAGTGCCCTAGGGACTAGTTCCTTTTTTGAGGAACGAAGGAACGCCGCTGTTCCAGTGAGAATCGGTGTAACTGTAATGTTAACGCGTTACGTTTACATAGGAACAGCAGAGGGAACAGCGTTTTTTTGTAAACGTTCCTTAGGCATTGAACAGGTGGACGCGTACAATATATAATGCAGAACAGGCGGAGTAGCAATTTCGTGACGTGCAACAACCTACCCCTAACCTGTCCCTTGACTACGCTGCATCTCGGTTTTCACTTTAAGGTGCCCTCCTGGAGCAGGGAAGTGTGTGATGCCGAGACCAATCACGTGTGCGACGAATATTCCGATTGTGTTCACTATTTTCCTATTAGTATGATCCAGTCTGACAGTGATCAAAGGCCGTTCTGGTGTGTAGGAGAGCTGACACGTTGGATAATCGACTTTTCTGGTTGTCCCACCCTCTCAGAAGTAGCTTGTGTGTGTGTGCGTGTGGGGGGGGGGGGGGGGTCTGCATGCGTGCGTGAGTGCGGGTTCTGCGACGCAATAATGTGACCTTCCCGGCATAGTCAAGGCACTTGCGTGTGGTTTCATGGCGTCTTCGAAAAGCGCGAATGATTGTCAGCATTCGGGTTAATCACGCATTGGACAGAGGAACCAATCACAACACTTGAAGCGCAGAAAATTAGTAAAGCATCGTTGCTATAACCACTGTAATACCGTGCAGTGACTGCCACTGTGAATGAATAGTCTTGACTCTAACGTAACGGTGGCAAAGCCACACTCTGCGATTCTATCTCATGGAAATGATCATCCTTGCCGCGTGCAGTGTACGCTTCGGACAATTATACGAGGTGTTCCAGTTATCACGGAGCATGATTTTAAAAAAAGGAAAGGCGATACGTGAAGCAAATCTAGTGCACATTGTCCCCAGTATGCTGAAGTAGCCGCTGCTAATTTTTTCATTCATGATCATTACCTTCCGAGTCATAATTTCATTATTTAACTCTAACAGTACTCAATTATTTATTAAAATGCCATGAAGCAGATGGGGATATGTTGAAATGACATCTGTCTGCCATGAACTACTTCCAACAATGTATTAATTGTTTGCTCATTTTTTTCCTGTAATAAATAAAGCCCGTGAAATATGAATAATACACGTGACTGCGCTCACAGCTGGAAAAGAAAGCACCACCCTCAAATATTGTTACTGGAAGCAACCACGTTGCCTCTTTTCTGTTGGCCAGAGACAGTGTTTTGTGCATTGGCAAGGGTACAGGTCGGCTTCCATTGACATGTGTCGCAGTTTCGGAGGAATTCGTTCCGCTTGATTGTACGTTTCTATCACTATTCATAGCTCGGTTGATTGATTGATATGTGGTGTTTAACGTCCCAAAACTACCATATGATTATGAGAGGCGCCGTAGTGGAGGGCTCTGGAAATTTTGACCACCTGGGGTTCTTTAACGTGCACCCAAATCTGAGCACACGGACCTACATCATTTCCGCCTCCATCGGAAATGCAGCCGCCACAGCCGGGATTTAATCCGGCAACGTGCGGGTCAGCAGTCGAGTACCTTAGCCACTATAGACCACCGCGGTGGGGCACCATTCATATCTCACAGTCAACTGCTATCATTGATATCGTGGCCGATTCACTCTTCTGAGCGATTGCAACCTGACAGTGTAAGATAAAGGCGGCGCGTTTCTTCGGACGGGAAGTGGCAGATAGTGTGATCCGTATTTTTGACGCGATAGCATTAGAGAGCTCGTGTTGCAGAAATCCCACCGTCGGCGTCGGCCACATTGTTTGTGAGCGAAAATCGTCTGTGCATCTGTGAGCGAAAAAGCAAGTTACAGAGATCGCCGCGGGAGGCCGCGACTTGTCCACGCGTGCGCGCGTGATCACACTGAGAAAGCCGTGCATTCGAAGAAAAAAAGTGCTGAAGGTCACGAGGCACGGGTGACGTAGTTTCTTTGCCCTTGCCACCCCTCCCTGCTTAGCTTCTAGCGCTTTCATTGCAATTGCAGCATGCGACAAACCTTTGTAACTCTACTAGCACTGGACAGATTTTTTTAAATTTTTGCGGCTTTGAGTTCGTGAGGCAATAAGCTCTTCTAGTGAATTCATTCCACGCTTACATTAAAAAAAGTGTTTCAGGGCCCCTTTAACACGTTTTGTTCGACAGGTGTCACGACGAAAACGAGCCCATTCGGCGATTTGTAGGCGCATTTTGGAAGCCTCAAACTAAGTCAAAAAAGGCTGGGATAGTGCATCCATCGCCGCTAAAGACATCTAGGAATTTTCAAACAGCTCTAAAAATGGACAACTGTGTCCATCTGGCGGAAAACATATACCTTTCTAGAGGCGTTGATCAAGCAAACAGCAAACGCAAGATAATGTGCTGCTAACTGTGAGGCATTGTGAGACTCTTTTGGCCTCCGACATGGTGAGCAAAGCCATGTGACTGTTGCTTTAGATAAAAAGCATGTACCTACCATTCGCGAGCGCACGTTAGTACGATCTACTGTGTGCGTGTATATGTAACAAAACATATTATTAAGTGTGCACTTAGCGGTTGAAGGATGCACTAGGGGCCGTATTTCGCTGTCGCGTTCACCTCTTCAAGGCGAAGCTTAAAAGTCCCCCAATTTTTTTTTATTCTTCATTCTACATTTCTTTCGTTGCTACTGGTGGTCTCAAAGTGAACTTGTTTGAGAGCGCTTCATTTGATGCGCACAGCGGCCTAGTCACGTGTTATTTTTCGTATTTCACTGTTTTTCTTTATCAACAGGGGAAAAAACGAGCACGCGATTAGGGCGTTGTTTCCAGTAGCACACACAGATGTCGTTTCAACATGCGCACATCTGCCTCATTCACAGTTTGATGATTTTGATGAAGAATATAATTATGAATAATTAATTGATTGTCATTAACAAAAAATGTAGCGACTACAACAGTACTGTGGGAACAATATGCACCGGCTTTTCATCGCGCAACTCCGTTCACCTTTTTTTTTTTTTAAATCGCACTGCGTTATAACTGGGATGCTTTATGGTCACGCGCTCACGGTTTGTAAAGCTTCGACATATTTTCTGCGGGCGTTTTTCTCGTTGCGTGTACTTTAGCTACTCCATCGCTATATCGTTCCTTCAGTATTTCATCTACATGCCGCTGACAGCTATCAACGAACCTATCTTTTGACACCCGGGTGCGTAGATGGCTGAGAAGAGAACCATAACGTAATAGAAGCGGGTGCCGCAATGGCACCTGTCCGGTGCCTGCGATGGTTGCGTTTGGCCAGCCATCAATTTGACGTGCCAGTTATCTCAGTGGAGATAGGTCTACAACTTTCATTGTCATTCATTTCAACAGCCACCACACCGATAACGACTGTCATGCAATAAGCAATAGACGTACAATCGACCACAAAAGTTTAATGGCCCCACGAGCGCGTGGTCAAAAGCCTCTTCGCGAGAGTTCTGTTAAGTCAGCGGTGATTGACAGCACCACAGCGCCCAAGACGTATCCCTCCCTTAATTTATGGCCTGTGAGTTTTTTGCATAAACAAATAATTTTCGCGGTTCACTTTTTAATGCGTCGTGCAATTGCGGCAGTTGCGTCTACGTGCTTCTGCCTCGAGAGCAGTTTATGGGCACAAATTGGGTTCATTAAAAGCTTGGGTTCAATTCACATTTGAACTTTTTTTAACATTTATTCATTTGTAGTTACCTCCCAATTTAATTTATGGACAACCCTATATTTTGTTTACAACTAACAATGCCGGTGCCGACTCCACAATTTCAGTGATACAAGCTATTTAACGCTATTGTGTTAATATCTGAAGTGTAGTGTTCATATATGAAGTGTACTCGAAGGCTCATTTAGAAAGCGCCATTTGTATTGCACTTGTATTAGCCGAGCACTAAAAGTGCAGTTAGACGTGTTTGTAGTATGGCTGGTGACCTCTAAAAAACCTCGTCTAGGATCGTTTCCTTACACTCCTATCTACATGTAGCCTGCTGCTGTCAATGTTGAACTCGGAAAATATACGTAATGCTAAGTAGACATTAATTTTTTACTGTATTTGGCCTCGAGGTTATGCAGCCCTATATTTCGATAAAAAAATTCAAATGTGGCCTGATTGTAACGACACGTTTCAATTTTTAAATGTAACTTTTCCATTTCCTTTTCCAGTTCCTTTTCCATTTAGGAAACTTATAATGGGAACTCGTTCTAAATTGGGAGGGAACCAGAATCGAGCTTTCGTTCTTGTTTTAGAGGAACGTGTACAACACTGGTTTCACAAACCGTAAAGGGGTGGTACCATCAAAATTTAAGGCTATAACAAGCTCTTGTGGGTTTTCCATGTACGCAAGGACACTCCACACAAATTCCAGGACACTGCAAACGTTTAAAAAATGTTTTTTATTCACCTACGAAGTGTATCTATATGCTGATTCTCCCGATAGAAGCCTATTGTTACTGCATCTATTACTGACGTGGCTCTACAGGAAAGGCAACAAAAGTTGTAGTGACGTCACACGAGATGTGTAGTGAGCATAGGCGTGCACAGAGTTCCCCGTCTGGGGAGACAAATGTGTATCGAAGCATTCCCTGTCCCTATTATGTCAATGTATGGGGTTGAATTTGTGACCCTCCCCTCTTAAGGTATTCGTACAGCAACCGCCCCCTTCGCCTCGCGTGCGCACGCCTATGGTAGTGAAAAGAGTAACCTCAGGACCTCCGCACCGTACTTACCGGCAAAGCATCGCTGATGCTGCAGTGATCCAATGTAACTTTCGGCGCGTATGTTTTGAGGTGCTTGTGTGGCACGCGTGTGCAAAAGCAGATGATACTCAATACGAGATGCGTCACGCACACAGCCTTGTGTAGCCAC